AAGGTGGAGTTATATCCGCATCCTCCACCCGAGTCCAAGCATTCCCCACAGAATGAATCGTTTACAATCCAGTGCACCTCAAAACCTTGCTTAAAAACTCCTCCCAAATCATAGTAGTACTTCACCTCCGAACTTCCAATTACAGGAACCACCATGCTTGCTCCACATATCCATGGTGTTGTGAAAGGATTTGGTAGAAGGCCATAGAAAATGGGACCAGAGAGACCATTATTAGTGCTGGCCCGGCAACTATCTTGGGACAGGAAAATAATTGTATTAATATAGGCCGATGAAGAGAGTAGGGAGCAACCATAGAACAAGGTAAGGTTGATGGTACCAGGAGCATAACCAAAGAAGTTGAGATCCAGGGTGGTGTTAACCAACTTCTGAGGACAAATATTAATATCCCATAAATCCACTCGGGCCACCTTCAGAACTCGGTGCCCATGATCGATGTTCAAAACGCGATATCTTTCTGAGTTGATCACTATTGTGGCGTTATCTTCCCCACATTCCAGATCGTACCCGGGATGCCCGCAGTCGTTCAGGTTTCCCTTCTCCCGGAAAGGGTATTGGACTCCGGTGATATCTCCACAGTTAAAGGGACGGCAGCTTAAGTATGGTGGATCGTCATTAGACAGACATCGTAGAACGTCGACGACTAAGACAAGGATGAGGGTGAATAGGAAGGTTAAGTGGTGTGTTGGAATCATTTTGTTTTCCCCCTAATGCATGCGATGATCAGAGAAGTTAAGCCATTGCAGAAGAGGAGGTTAATTAAGGTGGAAAGATAAATAGGGGAAATTGTAGATGTTTGGAGTACGCTAATAAGTAGTAACCACCTAATAACCGCGGTAAACAGGAATACGTACATCAAAACCTTTGACAAAGTCTGGCTGGCGGATTCTATGTTATTTCCAGAAGAAAGTGATGAAAGGGAAAGAAAGAAGAAACATTTGGTCCCCGTCAGTCCAAAACTAGATGCTTCCTACAATTGGAGTGGTTTTCCTTGCACTCCATTTACTCACGGGAGTTAAGTCTTAAGTGTGACTCATACCAGGCGATATGATACATATATTAGAATTTGTTAATTTTCACATAGAATTAACAGAGAATTCAAACCTTGCGAAGGTATTACTATTTTCCCTTTATCCCTATCAAAGTAAATCATGAAAAATACTTGAGTGGATTTCTGATCAGCACCCAAGTAAAAGTAAAGGTTCATTTTGAAAATCTTTCGGTTTTTCTTTGATGAGTTTTTTGAAAATCTTCTGTCTGTGTTAATTACCAAATACAGGTTAATTTCATTTATAAATTAAAATGGTTATTAATTAAAAAGCAAACAACACTTGGGACTTGGAAATTTCAAATGGTCGTCACCAAACAAAAAGTCAGGAGATGATTACATCACCAAATGACGAATGAAGAGTGTAGACTAGACTCTAGAGGATGAGGACCTCATTTAATAGGGAATGGACCCAACAACCCAGCCCGCCGATGAACACCCATTTAGCTAGGATATATACAAGTGTTACCCAGCCAATAACCAATTAAATGGATCCCAACCCAACCCTCGGTATGTTTAATCAAATTCCCGATGCTGGAAATATTTGCTGTACAGACTATTGGGATGATGGTCACGAGCCCAATTGTTCCATGTGTATTTACCACTAATCCATTTGTTCAAATGGTTTATCTCTCTTTTGTGGCTGGTCTGGTCATCCACTTAATTATGCCAAGTCTTCTATGCTACTGAGTAAGAATACTCGCAGAAGAAATAGGAGACGGTTAACAAACTTATTGGGGGTGAAGAACTGCAGATGAAGAAACTAAATGAGCCAATGTAATGTTATCTAGGAGACGATGTAACGCAAACTTGAAGAGTGGAAATCCAGAATTACCTTTCACATGCTGGGAGAACTGTATTTATATGGTACTAACACAAGAATAGTAGTTACCCAAAAAAAAAAAAAAAAAGAAAAAAGATCATCGATGTGGGCGTGAACAAAGGGCTCTATCTCCGACATGGATGGAAAATATGTTCATTAACACAGTAGCATAAATGCAATAAGGAAAGCACAAATTCAACGTAGCAAATCAACATCATGATTTAGATCAGGCGGCTGCTTCAAATATAAATGCATAGGCCCGTGCTATAAGCTGCCTACATAGCAGATGAGTGGTGTTAGGGAAGCAGGGGTACATGGACACCGTGAAATAATCTATGAATGCCGGCAAGGTATGATACCTGAAGAGGATTGACTAATCAAAACCCGCCGTGAATTTTGATGAAAGTATAAGAAATGACGGGGTAAGGTGGGTTAGCTAGCATTTGGTGGAAGTACAGCACCTAACTATGGCCTCTAGAAGACTAAAACTATTAATCAACCATCGATACATCCAGCTGCCTACCCCACTATCATGAATCGTGTTCGTAGAGGAGTCCTCTTTAGGACAACGGTACTGCATGTGCTGCTGCTATTTTATCTTCATTAATTGTTATAATAAGAATGACAAGCTGTATATTTCAAAGAAAAATGATTTAAATGAAGACGAACTTAGCTCCCTGCAGACCATATTCTAAGCCCTATAGATGAACTTATCAAAATAAATACACTACAGGTGAGGTGATGCCTACTCTATTCCTATCAATTCTAAACTTCTAAATTCAACAGTTTTAAGCTTGAAATGACAATCTATATATGTTTTCCTCCTAGCTCCAAAAAGTAACAAGTACGACATAAGAGAAGCAGAGGAGATCATCACTCATCAGGAGAGGCACCAGAAAATTGGTACGTACCCGGACTCGGACTCGGAGATGGATCTAAATGGGAATCCGGTGCAGCGTGCGGGGGAGCACATCGCCCTTCATAAGTCTCAAACTCGCAAAAGCAGGTGGATGTATTCAATTCCCAATTCCAACCGCACTGCCCTTTGTATGATAAGCATCCGCTGCATCCCACGTCAATACTACTACTCCACCTCAAATCCACATCTTGGCTGATAATTTCGCCGAATCTCGATGAGTTCTTCTCTATCTCAGCCTTAGCTATTGAGGGAATTGGGACTATAACACTATTACCTTCTTGGCATTTACTAGCTAGATTTTCGTATGCAAATGAATCATCGAGGACATAGTAAACCTCAGCAGGATCACCATTGCTGGGGCAACTAACACTGACCTTGGTTGCACCATCCATAACCCCTGAGCTTGGGCTTGGGGAACAACCGTAGAACAGAGCCATGTAACGCTCACTACTAGGACTTGATGGGGGTAAAATGAGGCTGGTGGTGTTGATAGATTTTTGTTTTTTCTGACAAATACTATCCAACAAATCTGCTTGGGCGACCTTGAGATTTTGATTCTTGTAATCCATGCTCGAAACCTTGTATGTTACCGAGTTTATCTCTA